CTGTCTCATGAGAAGAGAAGACTCCCTGGAAAAGACCTTGATGTTGGGAAAGTGTGAAGGCAAGAGGAGAAGGGGACGACAGAGGATGAGATGGTTGGACAGTGTCACCGAAGCGACCAACATGAATTTGACCCAACTCTGGGAGGCAGTGGAGGAGAGGAGGGCCTGGCGTGCTCTGGTCCGTGGGGTCACAAAGAGTCGGACTTAACGACTAAACAACAACAACAATTTGGCAGTAGCTCATGGAGGGGTGAGACAGACAGCCCCTTTCCTTCAGTGCTGGTGAGATCTACAGGTACCTCATTACTTTTGTCCCAAAACTGTTTCCTGCCACTGATGGCACAGCAGCTGTCCCTTCTGAAAGACACTCATCATAACCTCACAGTTATGTCCTGAACAGTGCCCCCCCCAGAGTATAAGCAGCAATGTTGACTCACATTAAAAAACCACACAGACCTAACAGCAGAGCAGGGCTTTTGTAAAGCTAAGGGGTTTTAATTGTTCATTCGAGACCAAATATTTTCCTTTTTGTGACAATGCACACTGCTGTTGTTCGAGGGATCCATTCCACCTTAACACATGGGAATCTGAGGGGAGGTTGTGGATGATGTTACTGTCCCTGCTAAGCAGAAAGACCTGGTGTTGTGATGTGTTGCTCTGAATGTTGGACTCAGTGGCCTTATTAGGCTCCTTCCAACTCAATTATTCTAGGATTCTATGTTTCTGGTGTTGATTTTGTTTAATTGACTGATATTTTATTTAATCTTCTATATCGTTATTTTTATTTAATGTGTTACTGTTGTCTATTTTATTGTGAGCCATCCAGAGTGGCCTTGGTAACCAGATAGGTGGTATAAAATCAATCATTCAAATAAACAAACAAAATAATACCATTTCAGTGACATATTTGCTTGGTTATTAAAAAATATTTTTATACTTACTGTTTTTAGTTTTTTAATATTGTCTTTTAATGATGCAATGGGTCCTTTTTAACAAGAAAAGCAGGGTAAAATTATCAATAATACATAAATAATATACTGTAGTTTCATTATAGTATATGAAAAAAAAACATATTTTTTTGAATTTCCTTATTTTCCTCTTTTCTCCCAACTCACATTTCCTTTCATATTGTGTCTCTTAGCGATTATGTTAAACCACAAAGAATGCTCTAAAGTGTGTGTTTGCGCACAATTGCAAAAGATGAATAAAAATAAAGATAGGCTGAATGTCAAATAGGCCAGCACAGCCTCTTCATTTCAGAAGAGGAAGAATCATTTTTTCTTCTTAAATATGAGGGAAGGATCCTAAATATTTTAACATGCTCGTAGTGTCTGTTCATGATACAACAGAAGAAAATCCTTCATGTGTTTTGTCAGAGATATTGATATGACCAAATAATTTACACATAACACACAGAATGTACACTGAAAAATAAAAAAAGATCCAGTCACTCAATAAATGAATCTGCATTCACGGTGCAGCTAGGGCAAAATTAACTGGTGTACGAGTAGTATGTATAGGAATTCATAACCAGATACTTACCAAGATGATCATGAAATGTATGAAAGGGGGGGAATGATATGGCCTTTCATCTCTAGGTGAAAATTATACTACACCAGTGAACATTAGATGAACATTCAAGAGAGTCCACCGTACATCTTTATTGGCCGTGAACTGCAAAGAATCCATTAAGAAGCACTCCTAAGCGCAAAATGTTAAACCTAGCAAGCATAAATGCTCTATGAGCTATAGATTCATGACGGTGGTTAAACAGGACACCAGCATTTGCAATACAGAAGGAGATTCTGTTTGCTGGAAGCTGTAGACCAAAAATTAAAGAAAAAACAAACAAAAAAACCCAAAACACGACACGTACCTCATCAAACGGTTTGGTAATGCTGGTTTCTAGCTGCCAGTCCATGGTGCGCCACACCTTCAAGCTTCGGTCATCTGCTTGGGACGCAATGTATTTCCCAACGGGGTCCCACGTGAGCCCCTTAACCAAGCCAGAGTGACCCTTCAGGGTGGCAAGAATTTCTGAACACAAGGAAGGAACAAAAAAAAAACTTTGTGTCGATTTTTCACGTTTTCCCGGAAACAATTAAATCAGAGAAAAAGTGGAGGGAGAGATTTTAACAGGTTCCTCTCGTGAGGTATGACACGGGGCGGTCCAGAACACACGGCCCTTGGGGGTTGATTGACCACAACTCTGAGCATCCTGGAGAGAGGCAGCCGTAAGCCTATCAAGGCACACATCAACTGCCTTCTGCGTATCCTGGTTGCAGAGCTGGCACTAGGGCCCTTTGGCCTTCCAGATGTTTTGGACTATAATTCCAACAAACTCCTTCCAATTGGCCATGGTGACCATGGTAGCTAGGATTTCACCTACTTTGGACTCCTTCAAGCTATGGAAGACCTATTACAAAACAAAGCTGCTATGGAAGAGAAGATGGACAGTGTAGTGGACAGAGTATTAGGCTTGGAAGAGTGAGATTTAAGTCCCCAGTGTGCTATAAACCTCACACAGTGACCATGGATTAGTCACACACTTTCTTTCTCTTAGCCTGACCTACCTCACAAGGCTGTCGGGTGAAGCGAAGAGAGAGGGAAAGACTCGTGTACGCCTCCTTGAGCTCACTGTTTGAACTGCAGCATGTGAATTTCTTACATTCAGGTGCTGCTGTTCCAACAGGAAATAACAGAGGGACACCGACCTACAGACATATGGAATTGTTTCTGGACTACAATGCCCAGGATTCTGCAGGCAGCAAGGCCACTCACTGGCCATGTTACCTAGGGAATTCTGGGAACTGTAGTTCAAAAACACAAATCTGCACGGCTATAAACATTACCCTTTCTAAGGGACATCAGCACAAATCTTGGAGCTCATTTGCAAACATCCACAATGCGAACCACAACAATTAATTATGTGTTGACAAGTTGATTATGGCAACTCTCACAGGGATCTCCAGGTGTAAAGTATTCAGAAGTGGTGGATCAATCCCTCTCTGTGGAGGCACTCTTGAGATTTGTTCCAATGCCACACAGGTAGTCAGGCACACAACCTCATCTGCCACGCAGGGTCTGGTTGCTTCTGACTGACATCTTTCTTGGATGGCGTAGAGGGGATTCAAACTCCCAGCCACTAGATCTGCAGCCGGGGACTCCGATGCCCTGGGCTCCACCAGCTCGGCCATATGCTCGAGGAGGTTTCACGGGTCTGCCGGGCCAAGCATGAAACAGGCCAATCACTCCTTGTCATTCAAAATTCGATACACAAGGATGTCCTACCTGGGAATTTGACAGCATTCCAGATGACAACGGTGTTGTCCACGCTACAGGAGGCCAACCAAGCGTCATGAGGAGACCAAGCCACGTCCATGACATCTATATG